ATCTTCTTAGATTTTATTTTTTTTTATAGTTCGATATTCCATCATTAATAACGAATTGGGGCGTATAGTATGTATTTTGCGAATGAAACATCTATTGAAGAACAACACGAAACTATTTTCTGGATTATATCAACATCAACATCAACAAGAGATTTATCAATTTTATCTTTGAATTCTACTAAACAAGAATTGATCTTGTTACCAGGAACCCGTTTCAAGGTTATGAAGAAAAAGAAACATGCGCTCTTCAAAGGAATCAATGAAATTCATCTTATTGACACGACATTCGATGTCAATAGTGAGTTGTTTTTTTTTCTCTAAAATTATTATTCGTATCTTTAAAAATAAATGAAGAAACATCAGTACGCTAGCCGTTGAATGATAAATTTATGTGAATATTGAATAAATAGATAACGTCACTAGAATAGCAAACAATATCGAAGTTTACAGGAGAGTCAATGTCAAAGGTGTCCAACATTATAAACTACAAATATGCAACATTTTCTTGATAAAACTTTTTAAAAGAAAAGTAATTAAGCAGTTTCACTTTGTTTTTCTCTATTTGGCCGCTCGACTTCATATTTTTCATCAATATAAGCTCTGCCTTTGAAAAGCAAAATCAAAATTGCATTATTTAGACAAAGGTTGTTTCATACAAATGATTCTTAGCTGACATATTTAAGTTCTAAGAAGTTGTTAGGTTGGTCTGAAAAACTTGAACATTTCGAGTGTTAAATGCTTCTGATATTCATATTTCTTTTCAGACGATTTGCAAAAATCTGAGAGAAAAAGTAAACATAAACTTTTTTTCAAGTTGCTTCTGTCAATCAATTGGCAATCATCAAGAAAAATTATGATTGATCGACTAGATCGGATATATCTGAAACTTTGACAGTCTTATGAGTCAAGTGAAGTGACGGCTCATTGCATAATGTAAATATTACAGAATAGATGAGGAAGGAGCTAAAATCAAGTTTTTTAAATCAACTTAAAAAATTAATTTAAAAAATATTTTCTCCTTGAGTTTAATTTAGAATTGCCATTTGTCTTCAGTCAACTGTTTAATAAAATCGAATAAAATCCGTCGAATATTATATGAAGGAAATCGAAACGATTGCAAAATAAAAAGCATCAATCGTTGTAAAATAAGGATGAATTCTGTTGTCTAATACATGAAAAATTTCCTTTTCATAAATAAATTTTAATTCATAGATTCACATAGTGTGAAGGCTGAGAATGTGAGTGTGGGTGGATATGTGTGGAGTGTGTATGTTGGTGTTGCTAGGGTTTTGAGTGGCTGTGGATGTGTACATTGTAATCACTAATCATACCCATACCCCATCACACGCACACCCTTGTCGGCATTTTTAAGATCATCTTTATCAATTGACATAACTTCAGAATCGAATTGGTTCGATTACATTGAATTGATTGGCATATTTCTATAGATAATCATGAATATGCTTCCAAGAAACAAAATTCAATCCTAATACAAGCCAATCAACAGGAATGGACGTATAGAAAAAATTAAAAATCACAAAAATATTTACCGTCAGGATCGACTAGAACGAATGTCTATCATTTGCCCCAAATTGTGGTTCCCCAAATCAATCCTCAAATCATATCCCCATTTGGGAAAAATAAAACAATTAAGGTAAATTCTGGTCCCCAAATGGAGATTTTAATTTGGGGATTTTTTTATCATAAGATACATTATGTTTGTTGTGAATCAATAGCATGTTGCTTCTCATACTACATAGTGTCAACGAATGTCTATCATTTGTCACAAATGGGTTATCACAAATGTATTCTCAAAAAAAAAATCCTTATTAACGAAACATAATAAGAACAGTTTCCGATGAATCTGGTGACCAGAATTTATTTTTGATTACCGACAATGAACAATTCTTGAGGTGAATCTGGTGGCCAGAATTTATTTTGGGTTGCCAAAAACAGGACTTCGTAGTAATCCAAGATGGATTCTGATTACCAGATTCATCTCAAAATTGTTTGTTGTAGTAATTCAAAATAAATTCTGGTCACCAGGTTCATCTGAAACTGTTCTTATTATGTTTCGTTAATAAGGATTTTTTTTTTGAGAATACATTTGTGATAACCCATTTGTGACAAATGATAGATATTCGTTGATACTATGTAGTATGAGAAGTAACATGCTATTGATTCACAACAAACATAATGTATCTTATGATAAAAAAATCCCCAAATTAAAATCTCCATTTGGGGACCAGAATTTACCTCAATTGTTTTATTTTTCCCAAATGGGGATTTGATTTGGGGATTGATTTAGGGAGCCACAATTTGGGGCAAATGATAACCTACCGACTAGAACCACTCACTTGTTGAATGCACAAAGCGACATATGCTCAGTCTTTGGACCATATATCTCCCAAAACATGATTGACGATCAAAAACAATGAGGGTGTAGGTGTAGGTGTAGGTGTTTTTTCGTGTGAGAGAGAAGTTATCACCCATCCAAACTCTTAATCACATCCGCACCAATACTCTTTTAAAAAACTGACATCAATCTAAAATGGCAATATAGTAAATATTACAAATGAAATAGGTATGTTCTTAATAGCATATTGATATGAAGAGCGCAACAATAGTTCTTCGCATTGCTTGTCTGGAAATTTATCAAGCATTTGCTCTTAGAAGAAAGTCAAAAATAAAACAGTCAAATCAGTCATTATCATGTTAGCACGGTCAGTTGCGATTTGTTTGAACTGACTTGTATATAAACAACATGTAGCGGCAAAAATAAATAAAAGAAAAAAACAGAAAATTCAATGGTTTTCCCTGGAATAATTTTTTCCATTGTATCAACGAAAAACCTGTTATAGAATGATTTTTTAAATTGTTTCATTGTGGTTCTTGTACCATAAAATCATTGTCTTTTCAACACAAAGTAACATAGGCACCAAACCGATCGACTAATTCAAAGTGAATTAAAATTGAATTAACGAATAAATCATCTCAAAAAGATGATTTAAATCGAAATAGACCACTCACGTTGCTTTATTTGTTTTATTTTTTTTTAGTCTGGTCGGAGCCATATCGTTCTCGGCGTCTGTAGTGTTTAGAGAAGAAAGAAGACAATGAGGTTCATTGTTGCTCATGTCTATATATATATATATTCGTCCTTGGTCAGTATCATCGTTATTCAATTATCCTTCAACATGCAACGAACAAAACGACAAGAGAATGATATGGTTCAAATTTCGAATAGTAATAAAAAACAGAAGTTAGAAAATCAAAGTAATATTTTATGTTAACATTTATTAAATATAATTTTCTTCATTTGTTGTTTTAGTAACAACAATAAATTCAAACAAGTTAGATATATTTATTTTATCATATAAATAATCATAATCTTTTACTTTTATTTAGATACTGTCTTGAAGACTTAGCTAATGAAATTCTCTATGAAATATTTGAATATCTTGATGTATATGATATTTATAAAGGATTTTACAATCTTAATAATCGATTTCAAAATTTAGCTATTAATTCGAATATTTTAACTAAAATCAATATTTCAACAATATCAAAATCAAATTTCGAAGATTATTATAATAATATACTTATACCTAATCAAAGTCAAATTAATTTTCTTCGTTTATCAAATCCATTTGTTGCAAAGATTATTTTCTCACAACCACAATTGATTTTAAATTTTACTCGTCTTCAAACAGTAATTCTTGATAATGTACAAGATGAAAATTTTCACAAATTCTTTGATTATCTAATATATTTAACTACCCTTCATGCAATAACTATTTCTTTTGTATAAGAGATTAATTTCTATTTACCGATATGGAACATTTGAATAAAAAATTCCAGTATCTAATCGGTATTTCCATTGATGTTGATGTGTAAAAAACCATTTGTTTTCTTTCCAAAACGAAGAATTAAACTGATTAATTATATCATGATATTTTAAATTATTATTGTTCACATAGCCTTGATGATTAATATAAAATATACGTAAATATGACATATGAAATAAGATTAATTGTTGCCATCGTTTACCATCTAAATATGTTTCACCATACACTATTGTAAGATGTAAAATTTGAATATGATAAAAAAATTCTTTAATAATTTTTTCAAATTCATCAAAATCTACATAATTAAGTTTAAGAGAAACATGTTTTAAATATTTTAATTGAATAGAAGATAATTTGTTGCTTTCTTGATAATAGTCAAATTTATCAAGACAACTAATTGATAAATGTTGAAGTTTAGGAAGACAACATAATAAATTATGGAGTGCATTAAATGGAAGATGACCATTTATTATTAAATATTCTATTGAACTAGAATCATAATTAGTAAAATTAGTAAATGATAATAATAATAGTTTATATTCAATTTTACAATATTTTAATGTCGATAAACGAAATATTTGAGAAAAAATAATATCTAATGATGAAATATCTCCAGCAAAAGAAATAGTTATTGCATGAAGAGTAGTTAAACATATTAAATAATCAAAGAATTTGTGAAAATTTTTATTTTGTACATTATCAAGAATTATTGTTTGAAGACGAGTAAAATTTAAAATCAAATGTGGTTCTGCGAAAATAATATCGGCAACACATGGATTTGATAAACGAAGAAAATTAATTTGACTTTGATTTGGTATAACTATATTATGATAATAATCTTCGAAATTTCTTTTTGATATTGTTGAAATATTGATTTTAGTTAAAACATTCGAATTAATAGCTAAATTTTGAAATCGATTATTAAGATTGTAAAATCCTTTGTAAATATCATATACATCAAGATATTTAAATATTTCATAGAGAATTTCATTAGCTAAGTCTTCAAGATAATATCTAAATAAAATTAAAAGATTATGATTATTATTTATATGATAAAATAAATATATCTAACTTGTTTGAATTTATTGTTGTCACTAAAACAACAACAAATGAAGAAAATTATATTTAATCAATGTTAACATAAAATATTACTTTGATTTTCTAACTTCTGTTTTTTATTACTATTCGAAATTTGAGCCATATCGTTCTCGGCGTCTGTAGTTTTTAGA